GCAGGGAAGGGTTTGTATCGTAAGCACGACTGCTTTTGAGAAGAGAGGTTCTAAACATGTTTTCTCATCTTTATATTTTATAACAGATTTAAACACTTGTTTGTCTGGATATCACATATATTAGTCTTTATAGGCCAAAAAGCAGACAAAATAGAAAGTCGCCTAACAGTAGCTATGAATACTTATTAGTGTGTCATTTAAGGGGACTGCTGGCGGACGTATGCGCTCTACTGGGTGACATTCTAGTTCCTTTAGTGATTCAGTGTTGAATTAATGTCTGTGTGAATCCAAACAGAAAAGCTGTCCAGGGTCATAATGTCCTACTTTAGACCAGATCTTCCGTTTGAAAAGGCCACAGAGAAAGAAGCGGAGGTGAGTTATTGATATCTGTGTTGCAGTTTGCACATTTTCTGGTTTGACTTTACAGCTTTGCATCCTGTCTCCTACAGGTTTATATGTTAATAAAAAGCTGTTGGGATGAGGATTCTGAAAAAAGGCCGGACTTTAAGAGGGTAGAAAACTGTCTGGGGAAAATCATCAGGTAATTTCTGTCCTTAATCTGTGTGTATGTAGCACATAGACTCTCTGAGAGACTGATTACACATTTGTTATAACTTTTAGGGGCATTAATTAATTCCCTCCATCTTCCCTGTTGATTGTGTCCCTGTCCTCCAGTAAAATCCACAACCAGGACAATGAGAGCTACATGGACAACATGATCAGACGGCTGCAGATGTACTCCAGAAACCTGGAGCACCTGGTGGAGGAGAGGACGGCTCTCTACAAGGCTGAAAGGGACAGGGCCGACTGCCTGAACTTCATGCTGCTCCCTGGGTCTGTTTCCACTAACAGGAACATGCCTTCGGTGGCTCTGAGAGCTCAATGCACCACGACCTCAGATGACACATGCAAATGGAGGAATCATCAATTTGAAAACACATGCAGGGCAAATGAAAAGCCTGCTGCAAATACTCACAACATAATCAAATACTCACCACACAACCAAATACAACATTTTCTCTATTTGCATATGTTTTCTTAAATAGTAATGCATTGTGCATTGAGCTTTCTGACCTGACCTGAGAACTTATTTCTTTTTAATCTGAGGTTTTACTTACTGCTCTGTTACCTTTTTATTATTTCATCTTTATTTTATCTCCATACTTTTCTCATCTCTTTTAGCGTTGTATAATTTCTTCTTTATTATATTTCCATCACGTCACTTTCAGTATTTTGTTAATTTAACTTTATATGAACTTCTTTTTGTCTCTCTTGCCTTCTTGATTTTATCCTTATTTTTATCTTCATCCTTGTAATATTTTATCTTTATCATTTTATCTATCTTTGTTTACCCACCTTTAGTGTTTCCTGATTTAAATTTGATTTCCTCATATCCTGTTGATAGTTGTTTCTGCATGGAAATGTGCATGAAGATGATCTGTTTGCTTTTATTCTTCAAAGCACTTTGTTACATTGTATAAAAAGTGCTATACAAATGAAGTCTGATTGAATTATTAATCGATACCAAAATTAAACATGTTCCACTGGTAGAGAATTGATTTTTTGTGCTTTAGCAACGGGAGAGACACCAAGAGCAGATAAAAATAATGGATGATGGTTGAAATAGTTTGTTTAAACAGCGCCACATTCACTTTTATGGCTTCAATAGAAGATTATTAGATTATTACTGCAATTGAATTGATCTATTGAAAGAAAGTAGGAATCAGGAACCAGTGGATCATCTTGTTCCCTCCTCGTCCTCTCACAGCCCGGTGGTGAAGAGCCTGAAGGAGACTGGTGTGGTGGAGCCCGAGCTGTACGACGAGGTGACCATATATTTCAGTGACATAGTGGGTTTCACCACTCTGTGCCAGTACAGCACACCCATGGAAGTAGTGGACATGCTCAACGACATCTACAAGGGCTTTGACAGCATCGTCGACCACCACGATGTTTACAAGGTACTGGCACCAGTGACCATCCATTGATAGATAAAGAGACAGTACAGATCTTCAGATATCAGCATGTGACCCATCTGTCCTCAGGTGGAGACGATTGGTGACGCCTACATGGTGGCCTCCGGGCTGCCCAAGAGGAACGGCAACAGGCACGCGGTGGATATCTGCTGCATGGCGCTGGACATCCTGGAGTTCATGGGGACCTTCCAGCTACGACACCTGCTTGGCATCCCCGTGTGGATACGCATCGGCATCCATTCAGGTTGACCACACAATTTCTTCATCTTCCAACAATGGTGGAACAAAGTGGAAGTGAACGCTCAAAGGCCAAGATCACTCGATCTTTTTAATTGATTCACCTCCAATTGATGACTCTGTTGTTAATGACAAATCCTTTAATCATGTTATCAGTTACTTGTGTGTGTGTGTGGTCAAGGTAATACTCGCGTTATGGGGACCTAAATCAATTCCTTATGAGGACAAAAATTAAAGTCCCCTTTTATGTAAATCATCAAACATTTTAAGATGAAGATATTGGTTAAATAAGTTAGGTAAGTTCAGGTTAGGTAACGGTTTAGCTTGGTAGTAATTATTGTAAAGGTAAGTCTCCAGGAAATCAATGTAAGTCAATGTGTGTGTGTGTGTGTGTGTGTGTGTCCAGGTCCCTGTGCAGCAGGGGTCGTGGGGATGAAGATGCCCAGATATTGTTTATTTGGAGACACAGTCAACACAGCGTCTCGTATGGAGTCAACAGGACATCGTGAGTATGAAATAAACACATAACTGACGTACACTGACATTCGTGCAGCCAGCCGCTCTCCTTTCGTTCTGTTGCTCCAGTGCAATTACAGAGGCTATCAGTCAAGCTAATTAAATAAATTGACAACAGCCAAGCCTGGGTTAAAAAAATGTGTCTGACGTTTTATCTTGTCATATCCTGCAGCTCTGCGGATCCACGTCAGCGAACCGACTATAAATATCCTGCAGAGGACCAACTGCAGGTTTGAGTATGAGATGAGAGGAGAAACATATCTGAAGGTAAAGATCCACCAACGTGTTTTGAAATAAATTTCCAGCCGTGTCACTGCCGCACACAGACAATTAAACAAGGTGGTGCGTTCTTTATCAAAAATCACTGGGTGTGCTCTGCCACCGCTGGAGGAATTTACAAGGCCACCAAAAAGAAAGGCCTAAAGATTTGAAAAGACCCCTCCCACCCCAGTTAAATGCCCTTTAAATTGTCTCCCTTCTGAAAAGAGATTAAAAAGTGTAAAGATGAGAACAAACACATTCAAGAATAGCGCTGATCTCAAAGCTGACCTCCTCTGAGCACCAGATCTAATACTGCAGGACACTCAGTAAGTTTTTAATTAATGCCAGAAAAGCAGCTTTATTATTCCGTGGGTCGCTGCTGCAGATTATCATCCTACAGGTGCTAGTGTCTCATCTATACATACATGTCATCAAGGTTTTATTTATTTGAAAATTGTTTTTTTATAATTTTTCAATTTTTTTTAAGGGCTCATTTTTTACTTATGTGTTTTATACTAATTAACAAAGTCCTATCTCTGCAGTGTCCGGCTCCCTTCATATCTTGTGTGTGTTTTCTAAGGGTAAGGGCACAGAGACAACGTACTGGTTAACAGGTGAAACTGGAAAAAACTACGATCTCCCAACTCCCCCCACAACGTAAGCAAACACTCACGACTGTTTCTTGACTCTTTAATATGGATTAAACAAACAGGATAAAACCTGTTAATTGGCGAATTTAACATGTGTTGGTATTTTTTTTTATTTTTAATCCACTCATATCGAGTAAGTGTATTTTTACTGGATTATGCAAAAAGTACAGAACAGATTACCATGATACTTGAGAGGGATGTGCTATGGGTCAGGTAAGGAAACATTTTGGTCCGGATCAGGATGAGGGGGCAGATTCAGGATTTAGTTTTTACTTCCTGTAACAAGATATTAAATATTTAGTAGACTGATATGTATGAGCGTGTGAAATTAAGTGCAACAATTCTGACTGCTAATCTTGTCAAATATGTAATAATAAATGTAGAACTGTTCCTTTAACAGGGTTGTGCTTACCTCTGACTAGGATTTCCATGTAGTTTAAATTGTATCCTGTTCAGAGTAATATATTCCACATGATAGATAACAAGTGTCTCAGTTGTTAAGACCATGGAATGTATACAAAGATGGTCGACGTGTCTCCACGTCCTCACGCTATTCAGAAATGAAGCCAAAATATCTCAGATAGAAACACTGATATCTTGTGCATTTGGAGGGAGAGTCTGCGCAGTAGTGATCAGGGGACGGAGCTGTGGTAGCAAACTGAAACACGTGCTTGACCAATCTCGGGTCAGCTGTCGATATTATCTTTTTAAAGCATCAAAGAACAAATTAATTTGGAAAGAAAAATATGTCAAAATTGATGATTCAGACTTGACCTGCATATGTAATTATAGACTTGGAATTCTATTCTGACACATGTACTATTTCTGTCATCCTGTACATTTAGCTTGACATTAGACAAGACTTGTTTAAACCTGGTTCTTTGTTTATATCCTGTTTCCTATAGAGAGAACTTCCAGCGGCTCCAGCAAGACCTCGCCCAAACGATCTTGACGTGTCTGGAGCAGCGCTCCCAGTGGTCTGTCCGCAGGAAGAATCTGAGTCAGGGGGAGGAGGACGCCAAGGATCAAGAATCAGAGGCGGAGTGTGAGAGCCACCATCCTGAGTACCTGCATCTGGCCACTGTCGATAACACGCTCAGTACCTTCCTGTAGCACCGATCCGACTTTTCACCAAGAGTGGGAAAGAGCAGGCAGAGAGGACTGCAGTACTGTACACATCTAAAACACTGCAATACTGCATTTGTACTAGACAAGTACCTCGATGGACAAGGATGCGGAAGGTTCTTGTTTGTTTGTATTTCAGGATGTATTACTGATTTTCCGTGGATACACTAACAAATACTGTATGTATTACTATGAAACTTAGTGGAAGGAAGTGGTCAGGAAAGAACCCATTAAAAAGGGCATTTCTTGACATTTTCACCAAATATTTAGTTTAAATAATGACGGCTGGGCCACAGTGAGACAGAAAGATATTTGACGAGATGATGCCTTTATGGTCAGTGCTCAGAATGAGTCAGGGTTGCTGCACTTTGAGACAAGAATCGAGGTTGATTACTGTTACAGCTCTGATGGAGTTTTATAGTGAGAACTCGATATCGATTAAACCAGAGCAGGGCCTGAATGTGTGAAACGTCTCGGCTTTGTTGCAGTGATGTCGGAAACTCATCTTCTCTGACGCTGCACTGCAAAATAATATATTGTGTGTGTTGAGCAGCAGAGACTTGTATATGAATTCAAAAGCTGAATTAAAAAACAGTGGAAGACAGACAGTGGTGTAGATAACGGATCACTTCTATTTGCATAAACTTTATAGACCTAAAAACCTTTAATAATCCATATCTGTCTATTTTGTAAAACTTTCAGTGGCTTTTAAGAACTGGTGACCCTGAGGCTTCTACGTCTCTAAGAGGAAATACTGAGCATTTTTGCTACACAGGAGTACAAGCAGTTGTGGATGTAGCAAAGTACATTTACTTTGTATTTGTACTTTCCTTAAGTAGATTTATTTAAAATTTTATTCCTCTAGCTATATCATCAATGCATTGTTACATGTTTATTTTGAAGATGATGGCTGCTCATGTCGACAAATGTCTGTTTAACTGAGGAAACAACTTCACTACTACTGGAGCTTTGTTATACTATAGTAAGCAGTAGTGAGTATTGTAGGTACTCAGATGCCCATGTACAATAACGTAAGATAATCCAGATCTGGCCATGGTGGTGATGTCTGTCTCCCCGCCAAAAAACAAGATCTTCAAATGGTTATTTTAAACCAAAGGACAAAGTTTTATTTTTGTTGAACAGTGACATTCATTTACAATAAGTAAAAAAAAAAGAAAAAAAGGAAATTAAATAGTCACATTGATGATGTATGTTGTCACACAGTGTTTGTTGAAGCAGTTTTATCCGAGGCCTTAAATTCATATCACATTGTTTTATGCATTCAGATATGACATTGTGTGAAAAGCAGTAAAAGAACTCCAGCATCAGATAGAGATGTTTTTTTGGAAAGAATAATAAGAGGACTGTTGTATAGACTTTTAAAGATCAAATACCATGTGAAAACAAACTATAGTACAGCAGAAACCATCCAACGAATAGTGTACATGTGGATTAATTCAGTGTGAATCCAGTAAACCAAACAAGGTTTATAAAACTGACCTAATGCTAATACATTTATATTTTGATAGCAAAACTCTAAACTCTATTCTTGGGTTGACATCTGTTCAACAGCATTTATGTGAACTAAAATCTAACATATTCAGAAAATCTGATAAAACATAAAAAGATCACCCACCCACGGATGACATCAACCCCCTCCCACTAAAAAAATCAAGCCCAAAATTCTTTTTACTGTGTAGCATAAAAAAAAACCCTTAAGAATAAATAAGACAACAAAAATGTACAAAAAAAGGCATGAAGTTTTATACAAAACAGCTAAAACCTTCAACAACAGCTGCTTTAAACAGCATTACCTCAAACATTGGGTTTTTATCCCCCTATTTGTATTCAAGATTGAGTCTTTCCATTTGAGAGCAGGATTTAGTGATTTCTTATTTTCTGATGCTTTATCTCAAAACCCTGCACACGCGGTCAATTTACCCCTGCTTGTGCTTATCATGCAAGTGCACTCAGATGCTTTGTTACTTGTACTGATCATACAAGCGCTCATGCTGCTTTTGTGTGCATATGTAATGTCTGCTCTTGGATTTTTTTCATCTTCATGGAGCAGGAGTCCAGCAGGAGCGGAAAACTCTTGCATCTCGTCCCCGAAATTAGCTGAATAGATGGAAAGAGACAGGGCTCCATTTCTTTTGTTTTATAGTGTTCCCATACCCTAAAAAAACTTTAAATTAAGACCTTGTGGATCGGGGATCTGCTGGACTTCTGCTCCAAGAAGGTGTTGTGTTTGCTTCACACACACAACCAAAGGTTAAACCCTAAACACAGGAAGCTGAGGTAATAAGGCCGTGGGGTGCAGGAGAGTTATAGTGAAGCTAAAGTAACTGCCTGTATGGAAATCTCAAAGCCATCAAGCTAACACACCCACATCAACTTGTCACCACTACAAATCCAAGGGCAGAGGAGAAATCAAGGGAAGACGTTTCACACGCACACAAAAGCAGCGTGAGCATGAAAAGAGCTAAAGCTGAAATGCAGAGAATCTGCCATTTGAGTGCAAGCACAGGCTTTTGAGTGATAGCATTACAAAATCTGAACGTGGAATCAATAAGTCCCGCTCTCAAACTGAAAGATCACGCTCTTGAATACTGATAAGAAAAAAAAAACCACATAAGACATGCCACTCCACGTTCAGTGTGTGACATCTTTATCTCTGCTTGAACAACTCCTGAAAAAAATGCAATCGCCATGTGCTGGAAGAAATGTAACAATTTAAACAAGGAGCAAACCTGGAATGGACTCTTAGGGAGGTGGTGAAAAGACCCATTTTTTTGGACTGAAATATTAAAACAGCTGATTAAAAGAATGCATGTGACGACGCCGACGTTGAATGTGAAACATCAGTCTTTAGACACGCCCAGTTTATCTGTTTGAACTCAAGGCACCAAGTTAGAAAAATGCTGAAGTAACAAAACAATGATCAAAACTCTTTCAGTCTTCTCCCTCCTTCTAATGTCTTTGTTGTGATTATCGTAAGCATGAGTAACTTGTCTTCACTATTCTGACATTTACCTAAAGGTCCATATATCTGCTTATATTTGATGCTTTAAACGGACAAGACACTTATAACACACACATTATTGTATTTGCGTATGTTTTTTTAGTTTCAATTATCAAAATGTTACTAAAAAAAGTTTCCAACTACGATCCCAATTTTCGATTGTCTCACACTAACTGCTTATTGCCTCAAGTGTATTTGTGTGTTTCCTGCATGTTGGGGGTCACTCAGTGTTACGCAGTAGCTATACAGCAAAGGGGGTCAGGTATGAGGTGCAGACGGCAAACGCTCAATGTGGTCGTAGAAATAATCTCTCTGGTGGTGTTAAACCTCAATGGGTCAAAGAAGGAGCAGAAAAAAATAAAGTTCGCTAAATCAAATTCAAGCAACACTATGTAACTTTAACTGACCATCAGCGCCCTCTGCAGCCAGACGTAGTGTTTCTGTTGGGTTCTGTTTCCAAGACACAAAGATGGACAACATGACAGCTCCCAAAAATGAAGCCAAAACATCTGGATGGTCAACTGATGGCTAGCTGCAGGTCACAAATCCTGCCTCCTCCATGTAAGTGGATGGGACAAGTTTAAAATATTTTCATCTGCATTATAAAGGGGTTTATCACTGGTTTTCAATGACTGATCTTCAATATTACTCTCGAACTCGCTGGGCCTGATTCTGAATATTTAAAACTGGGACTATCAGTCAGTTCCAAATCTCTCACAGGAGAAGGTATCCACTCACCAAAGAGCAAGAAGAGACGTTCAGGGTGAGGACTGGGAATGAAAGAAAAAACATTCTCCCTATCCCAAATCTGTGAACCACCAAACTCATTCTGAAGCTGCTATTTTATGGCATAACTGTGTTTACAAATGAAACTGTAAATCAGTGAATGAGGATGACGGTGCTTTCTTATTCTAGTCATTCATTATCATGCATTACAGGATGTTTTGAAAGCTGCTGACTATGATTATCTAGACAGCTGTTGGCTAGTTTAGCTGATTTGGCAAGTATAGCTAACTGGAATTTGGAACGACTGCTGGGCGTGGATATATTGCCCCCATTTCTAAGTTACCATTTGTTCTACAATGATTTTTCATATCTTCTTTTAGGTTAAATGTCCTCTGATAAGCTGAGACACAACATTTGGCTATTTGTAGAAATGTGCATTTACTAGAGCTTTCAAGAAAAATGAATGCATATGTCAGTTTTTTGCTGTGAGAAGCAAGTTAAGCAGTGCATCGGATAATACATTTATTGTGTATTATTTATACAATAATACATGTATAAATAAATGTAACGGACGCTGCCACTCCATCTGTGCTGTTGTTGTGCTTTGTGTTTAACTTTATCTTTATATCTCAACTGCGTAAACTTTTTCTGTGCTTTGTTTGTTCCAACACGAGACCGTCAGTTGATTCCTCGTCAGAAGTTCAGGACTGTGGTGCCACAGGAGGAATTTAATGATCTTTTCTCGATAGGAATCGATAGTTTGTCACCAGTGGAGAGCAAGAGCGCTGATGGACCAGTCACAGGAAGATGACATCATAGCGACATCACAGAGTGAGTTTAATTTAAGTAATTTTTCTATAATTAGATGATAAACAACCCTAGTAATTACACATTAATATCTACTGATATCCACTACAACTCCTTGATGTCAAATCCTCATGGGAGGAGAATTTGCAAAATGACATCTACAAATGTATTATCTTGCACTTGATGCATTTAAAGTCATCGGAGCTGTCAGGAGTTGTGCACAGGGGACTCAATGTGGTGCAGTTCCTACAGTTTGCGAGCAGAGATCGTTAAGTCACGCGTTATCTGACCACCTTTTTGAAACCATACACCTGCCCTGAGCTGATAGTGGGATTTAAATGCTGCTCCTTATCCTAACAACGACAGACAGAGGACACTTCACTCCCCTGAGTCACCCTCTACTCCCCTCTCTGTTCAAGCCTTTCCTGACTCACGCCGACATCTCTCTGTCAGCTCGGGCTTAAAGCTGGCTGTGGATCGCGGCCAGGGCGGCAGACTGAAACGACACCGCTGTTGAGTGTGCACCGTGCACGTGGTGATGCAGGTATGTGTCAGGGAGCTGGTGCAGGGTGAAATGTAGAGCGGTGTATATGTGCTCCTAAGCTCGGCTCTGTTGGACTCTTGTTGTGTTTAAAGCCAATCACACCCATTTATACTAAGCTAACAGTAATAACAGCAAGATCAAATCGCAGCACATAACTAGACCTGAAAGCAGTGATATCGAGACCAATGCTCCTGACAACTCAGAACTGAAGGTGTGCTGACTTGCATACGAGGCCATCTCTCAGTAAAACCTCTTCCACCAAATTTAACTTGGTTAAACCAGCAAAAAAAAGCCAGTTGACCTTTCTCTCATTGACAGTTGAGGAGTTTGCCTTTCTGTTTTTTTGCTGAAGCTGAGGCGCTCTCTCACCTCGCTGTCTTGTCAAATTAGCGCGTTCGCCCTGGTGTCATGTTTCAATCACTGCCAATCGGAGCCAGAGCTTATTTAAACCTGTGTCTACTGCAGGAAAAGGGGCTTAAGACTCAAAGAGGTAGTGAAGCAAGCTTTTGTATGCAGTGCACACTGTCAGGATCTGCTACAGCCTCACACAGGCTGTGGAGTCTGTGTAGAATGAGATCAAACCAGTGTTAGCCAACGTTCACACTGAGAGAAACGAATAGCTACAGTACCAACATCATTTCCTACATGTTTAACGACAAAGAGTCAGTCTCTGCAAAAATTTTTGCAGTCGACGGCTGGTGGGATCACTGTGATTGTTTCTCAGCAGCCACAGTGATTTAGTTTTCTTGAGCAAACTTGCCTCGTGCAATTAAATGAGAGGACAGCAGGGATAAGAGGCTTCAGTACAAAACAAACAACTGTGTCCATCATTGGGAAGAAAGAAAGTGATGGAACATTGGTTTCATTATGTATCGCTGATGAATGCCTCCATGCCAACTGTGTTAACATCAAGAAATATTATAATTAAGAACTGCTTTCAGACCTGAACTCCGGAGTCTCCGGACTTTCTGCAGTTTTTCTAGCCCCGAGTAAAAAACTCTGGAGAATGTCAGAATGAGCTGATTTGAGAACACAGCAGGAGATCCTCCGACTCAGAAACATCTTATTGCGTATTAACACACACACACACAGAAGACACCGACCAAGATGTTTAAGAGACCTTTTGGTGATAAGGACCAACATTGGTGTCGATGTGATGTAAACAGAAACGTGATCTCCGCAACTAAATTTATAAATTAGCCCTCACCTAACGCTCCAGAGATTTGTTTTGTTGTGGGCAGAGAATCTCCTGCTGTATTGTTCATTTGTGAAAGGCGAACGCTGGAGAAAGTCCATACCCAATTCTGCGGACATTCTCTGGAGTCCATGTCTGAAAACAAAACGGATGCAATCTGATCTATTTGCAATCTCCGATGTCTGTTGGATCATGGTGACGCAACAACAGCTCCTCGCTGCAACCCTAATCGGATCACTGTGATTTTAGTTAAGCACCTTGTTCAGTCCGCTTTCATCTGGATCTTTGGTTATAATTTACTAAGCTCCACTACTTAGCAATATAACATCTGCACACATGATTTATTTCTAACAATAAAATCTCGCTGAAAAAGATTTCTGATGAATTCTGAGATTTTTTTTTTTTTTCCTTTTTGGTCATTTTGTCAGCGAACTGATAGAAATGCTACTAATCTGTTTCTGATGCCGTCCCATTGACGCAGCACACAACATGCGACATTATGTACAGAATGTTGTTATGAGCCTCAAAGGAAAATAAGTAAAATTCTTTTACATCCGTGATCCATGGATCTGGAAAAGCTGTGAAATGACAGAAGAGAGAGAGACATTAGGAAGTGCAGATTCACAATCTTAAAAAAAATAAATATATAATCTAACTTTGGCTGCGATGTGGTGATAATGGTGATGAAAATGGTGACGGAAAATGACTGGACTGATGTGTATGGCAGCATTAGCTGGCAACATCAACACAAACATACACAGCCATGATGTGGCCACTTATTGCGTGTGTTAAGTGTGTGCGGCCCATGTTTTAATAAGTCTTTGTACTGTGTGTGTCTTTTGTGTGGTGTATGTGTGTGTGTGACTCTCTACTGTTTATACAGCATGTACACAGACTGGGAAGGACATCTAACACTACTGCTGCACCAAAAGGTCAGGGATATTTCATGTCACAGCACCGGTAATGAGAGCCCATAGAGACGCAGCGCTCAATCAATATCTCTAAGGATGTGCCAGGGACTATGGGACCAGATTGAGCATGTGCATGTATACAGACGTTCAATATACAACCTGCTGCAGGAAATTAAGGCCGCACAGAAAAGTGATGTTTTACTGGTCAAAAATTCATGATACGTATTTATTGGGAGATTTTATCTCGGTAAAACTTTGATCAGCAGAGGGACACGTCTGCTTTAACCAAAAGGATGATGTAAGAGAAAGGCTTTAAATTCCGATTATTAAACTCTTTTAGACTTTTATAGAGGCAGCAAAAACACTGATTATACCTCATAAATTGTCTGTAGATGACATAAGAACAGCATGGTTTATTGTTTTAACTTAGCTAACATCATTAATTTATGTCGTCAGTGTGGCTGGGTGATGATGTAACATGAACGTTGGTTCACATTTCTTGTGCTCTACATGATAACGTCATTTGGAAACCTCTCAACATTAAATATAAAATACTGTCAGGACAATAGGTTTGTGTTTGTAGTTACCCTGCAGTGTCCTGTGTGACTGGATCATAATTCAAGTAGTAAAAGTGATAAACATCTTGACAATAATGAAATAATCTTCCATCTTCCTCATGGAACATTTCTACTGATGCACTGGCCAGTCCAATTCCATAATATTTAAATTCCATTATGCATCTACTAATTCCAGAAATCCCTGTCTGTCTGTATTTGAAATGCATATCTTGAGAACTGTTCTTCTTATCGGCTTTGCATTTAGCATGTGTACTGTTGAGGGCCCAACTTAAGTCAGTTACAAAAAAGGCACGTACACAAGAACGGCAATGACACCTGAGGGCTCTGTGTACTGAGTCGAGCTTCACTGATCAGCTCTGTGTGAACAGCTCTTTGTGCAGCAGCAGTGGTGCAGTCTCAGGGTTCTGTGGACTGAGTCTTGCAGTCTGTCTTTACTTGCCGCGGCTCAGTTACCGCAGGTCGCTGTTACACTTTCAGAGAGAAAGCTGCAACCAGCATCACCGCAGGCTAAGAAAACAGCCCATTCCAAACAGGCAGGTTTAGAACACAAGGTTTTAAAGAATATTGGATAGTGATTATTTTTCTGGAGTGGAAAACAACATTTCCCATCAGTCACAAAGCTGAATTTGAGCTGCAGAAAATCTTTTCGCTACAGAGGGACAGCTTAGAGGTCATATTCAATACAGTGCCATGAAACACCCCGGATCTATGTAGACATCACACACACGCACACACACATTCAAATCTACCAGGTCTACTAACTAGCACATCTATCGCACAGTTCCTCACCCAATCCCACCTCTCTTTGGAACAAAGCAACATGACTCCCTCATTCTCTAAGCCACTCATTTGGTGTGGTATCTCTCCCTCCCTCCTCCTCCTCCTCCTCATCCTTCGCTGCTTCCTCTTCCTGCAGCTCAGCCGGCTTCATTCCGCATGAAGGACGGAGGGGAGAACACAAAAAAAAGAACAAGACAGAAAATGACAAAAAAAAATGAACACGCTGATGAGTGTCAGTGAGTGGACAGTGAGAAGCTGAAGCTGATATATATCTATATATCCATATAAAAGAGAGAATATTGATTTATAGTGTGAGAGGTGGAGGGGAGGACAAAGTGAGAGGTCGATAATAGCAGGAAAGAGTTGTGTGAATGATGAGTGAGCGTGTTTGTGAATGACATTTGGAGGGGGTGACATTTGGAGCTTTCAGTGGAGAGTGCAGGATCAAAGCACGCTCACATCCGTGGACACAAAGCTTGTCCCTGTAGCAAGACTTAGAACATACATGTGTGTGTGCAGAACAGGAGTTTTACCTTTGTTTTGTGGCTCTGCTCTGTACCCAGTCCAGAACCAGGCGTGTGAAGCTCCTTGGACACGACACACAGGAACTCCGCTTGGTCTTCTGTTCCGTAGCTGTACGATGAGCCGATGTTCACCATCTAGAAAAGGGAGAGAGACACAGATACAGAAAAATATACAGAGGATAGGGGGGGCAGAGACACAGGGACAGAGTGAGTGTCAGAGAGAATTTAAGAGATTACAGCAGAGAAAACAGAAGATGGCAAGAGACAAAGAAAAGTGCCAGAGAGAGAGAGAGCTTGAAAACCCATACTAAAGCAAGGAAAGATTTTTGTGCTCATGCATGGTATGGGTGGGGGCAAACAGCGGACAGCCTGCGGTCACACACTCCAGTGGGCTCAACAAGAAGCGTCTTTTACTTGAGAGAACAGCGAAACAAGTGCTGGTCGGCCTCTGCAGGAAATTGTGTGCGAATCATAGCTGTGCAGCATGCAGTGGAGCTTGGTGCCAGTGGGTAAGACAGAGGGTAAGGGTGGGGGTGGGGTTGGTCTGTCTAAATGTGATGTCTTGGCTACGGTGTGGAAAGGCTTCCTGTTAAGACTGGAAGTCTAAGTATCCATACTGGAGAGGCCATTAATGAATGAAAATCCCTCACCATGCCATCACCTTAAAAGATAATGTTGACACTGAAAGACTCTTGTCCATTTCTGACCGTAACAATATAACTGTGGCTATTTTCCCTGTGTTCAGCTTTTTTTTGGAGATTTTGTTTATCAGCCATAACATTGTAACCATACAATGCGACTTACTACAAGCTACAAGATTGTGAAACAGTGTTTTATTCTCCTGTAGCAGCCACAAGTCTGTATGATATCAACTGTGTTTTAATATAATGTCATGAAGTGCTCTAATACCCACAATCCTTAGGTGTAAGCAACGTCTGTTACCAAGGAAATTACACTACAATATACTGTGACATTATATATACCAGGTTAAATTAAAGAAGCACGAAAAATCATTTTCAATGGTTTAATGTGACGCATAGTTCCTTAACTCTTAAAATAATTATGTACAAAGTCTTGTACCTTTACCTTTTTTCTCACTGACTCACTGAGACTATCTGTAATTAATGTGGACTTCCTAAATGAAAGTGCTAATTAAGGTAAAAAAATGGAGATCTAGACAATGGGCCAAATCGACTTTAGTCTAGGGGTCCTAAACTCATTTGGAAGTGCAAATAGTGGGGCTCAGGTTGGGGCCAAGGGGATCAAGATTAAAGGGTCAGCAGCAGCGTGAGTCCAACCCACAGTCCAGAGCAGTCCGGTGCGGGGCTTTCTGCAGGTGCGCACGCTGACCTGCTCAAACTTCCAGCCGTCCGACATCGTGGAGACCATCTGGGTCAGCTCCTCCTCCTGACACTGCAACACCCGGTACACATGCTTTGGGGGCACCTGCTGGGGAATGACAGAGAATGAGGGGTGAGGATGTATACCAGGGGCGTTGTTTCAATAAAGGAACAAAAAAATAACTCATATCTTCTATCGCTTTACTGCATTTGGCTAAGAAGTGAATAAAATTCAGGTCAGCTCATCCAGGAGGCGCCAAAACACCATTTTAAACAAATACAGTATATGTAACATGACAACATGCTTCATAACACAGAGGTGGTGAACTTCTGCACAAGCTTTAGCCCCAGGCATAATGAGAGCAAGTCAGGTAAAGTCCAGTAGAAGTGTTGAGAGACATGTGGGTGTATATTTGACAGGACAGTAGAATTTTGAGTGCTACAGTCCTGAGAAAATAGAATAAAGGAGAGTGAAGCCTGAAGTACAGCCAAGCTCTTCAGAGAAGCAGGGAAGAGCGAAATCACTGACAAAGAAGAGTGGCCAAAGGGCATTGCACTTACACAGTAGTAGAGTGTGTGTGTGTGTGTGTGTGTGTGTGTGTGTGTGTGTGTGTGTACACTGTGGCTGGTCCTCACTGTTTCAAATGTTAGTTCGAGAGATGAGACATGCTTTTAGAGTAAGGGTTAGAATTAGGTCTAGGTTCAGGTTAGGGTAAGGGGCTGGGGAATGCATTATGTCATGCCGTGGAGCCAAGGTATCAAGGTCTCACTGAACCACACACTTGACCAATCAGAGTGAGTTTCAGCAGTCTATCATGGAATATCTCTCCATTTTTGTAGCATCAAAAAACGAATCAAAACCAAACTTACCATAAAAAAATAACAACTGAACAAACATCCGTGTGATAAGAAGTACCTAAAATGACCAACTTGGAGAAAAAAATTATTTGACGTGTACTTTTTAGTTTGATTCATGTCTCATCCACGAAAGAGGAGATGGGATTCATGAGCTGTACTGCAGCCAGTCACCGGGTGGCGATCAAGATTCTTTGGAGCCACTTTGGAAGAGCCATAATGTCTTTATATAGTCTATTTTGCAAATAGTTCAGTATTGTAAGATGACATATAATTAGGTTGAAAAATATTAACACAGATGTGTTAAACTGTACATCTTAACCGTGAAGCAAACATGATGCACTGTTTTTGTTTGGTTTCATTTAAACAAGGATATTGTTGTTAGAGCCAGCGGTGCAGAGTGTAGCAGTAAACTCCTTCAAACGCTTGGACAGGTTCTCCACATACCTGCGTGGCTTTGGAGTCTCTCTCCACGATCCTCTCCTTGATCAATTTGATCAGGGGCGTGATGTTGTAAAACTCGGCCTCCTCCAGGACACCTTGCGACAAAAGAAACAAACAACTCAGCTGATAATGTATATTTTCATATTCACTAAACTAGAAACATTTGCAACCTGAAACACCATCTCTTGGCATGTGCAGGCACACAGTATTTTCTGAGTGGAGGGAAATAAGTGAGACCTTCTTCAGCCAGCTCCTTGTTGTAGACCAGTTTGCCGTGCCGCAAGTAGTTGAGGATGGGACCGAAGTAGGTGGGGTCTCTGTCAATCACATAGGCCCCCGACTCATCCTGTTACAGAGGAGAAATCAGAGAGGCAGATAGATGACAACATTGTCCGTTACCATATTATGAAATCATTCAGTGCATTTATTTAGATTACTGCGGTAACCCCCTTTATTATTGTATTTTTTACTTTTAAGAGTTTTATTGGCCTGAACCATTGTGGTATTCAATGCAATATTATTCTAGTCTTGTATGTTGTTAATAACTTTTTAGTTTTGCATCGTTCATGTATGTAAACAGATATTTCTCTAATATAAAGGTGACTTCCTTTCTTCTCTCCTTTTATGCCTCAAGCAATGAACCCCTTTTGTAATATATTGACTATTTTTAGACATGAAGCCTCACTAACTCCAGAAAAGAAAACATCCTGGTTTGGCTATTTTGGTCTAAAGTATGCAGTAATGGCTGCCCAGACTGGATGTTAGTAAGATCCACTGTTTGTCTTCAAAATAAAAGTCCCCCGTAGAGTGGGGGTTTTGTTGGGGTTAGAAAATAACATCTTTACAATTTAATGGTGTACAAAGAAAAAAGTAGTGTAAAAAGTGGTAGTCAAAAAAGTAAGGGACCTTTTGAGTCTGCTGTTGCATTTTCCATGCAGCCCTGTTTCTTCCAGTTGCAAATGCGATGCTACCATTTGCACCTCCCTGGAGATTTTCCTGCCACAACAGTTTTCTACCACTGGACATAGAAGTTACTGGAGCTCCAGAGCATTTCTTGGCAAATTTTGTTATTTAGCATCGTGTGTGCACCTCTCCCACCTCCAGGCTGCTTCTGCCAAGCCTGCTTGGCAGTTATGTCATGACTATTAACCCTCCAACATACTGTATACACACACACACACCCACAAGCGCACACACTCTGTTCGTCCTCGTGATGATTGCTTAAAGCAGTGTCTCCTTTTAGAGCTGGATTCACAAAAGAACTGCTGGTGAAGAAATCTACACAGAAACATGCAGGCTTTTATGATATTATGGATATAAATAGCGAAAAATGAGGAATTGTTGGGAATTGTATTAAAAATTAACATTGGCCTCATCTACTGACGACATGTCATTAACGCATGGTTCAGTAGAGCTGTCCAGACTTCAGTGTTTTTATCGGCTCAGGCTCAGATTGGCAGTGATGGAAACGAGACAGCCAGGAGACAGAATGCCTGAGTTTTCATTGCGTTTGTGAGTTCAAACATGACGGGTGAAAAGAAACAGAAATGCAAACTCATCTACTGGCAACGGAAAATTAGTCAATCGCAATTTTTAGCAGGTTTACCCAAAATTTAAAAAATGCATGTATACCTACTAATTTTGGTGTAGAAGTGGTATGGAAGATACTGATAGAAATGGAAGGAAGACGCACAGATGGGATGCGAAGAATGAATAAAGCTTGTATAGACACAGCACTGTGTGTGTTTGTGTGTCTGCATTTTGAAATCACTATGATTCGAGTATGGATGAGCTGTGACTGTAGCATACAGCATTGATGTGCATGCACAGACACACACTCAGAGAGCTGCAGAGGAGGAGACCGACGCCTCATCGACGTGACTTGACTTGACAGTGTGGGCATGACAATACCGGGAGAAAGCTTCCCCAGTGTGTCAGAGCCATGGTATCTCTCTCTTACACGCACACAAACACACACACTCAGTAGTTATTCATTGTGACAGGCCTATTAGCAGCTGCAGAACATTGACTTTAAAATAATCCATTCGACGAGCTTAATCACCAGCAGCGTATCTGCCACATTCTTGGTTGCAAACTTCTTCCTGTCCTGTTCTTTTGCTCTTGTCTTTTTGGCTTCTCTGACCAACAGCAACATTATCATAACCAACATACTGGAGTACAAAACCAGCTTGTTTTGGAGGCTTTCTGTTGTGTCATCATTTAACCTCTTTATCGTGGGAAAGTCCCCCTCAAATGTATTTACATTCCCAAATTCCACAACCCTAGAGTGTTTATAAAGACGGACAATATGACTCTCCAAAAGTGAAGCAAAATTGTCTTGATCGCTCCCTATGTAGTTCTTACTGCACCAATGTATGATCAAGTGCTAATTTTCTGGAAGGTTTTGTTAAAATTAGTTATTTAAAAACTGGGGTGAAACTCCATGATTGACAGCTGATTGGTGGAGTGAATGTATCAGAGGGACCTTGATACCACAGCTCCACACCATGATCACTCCTGCTCACACAGAAAATGACATGAAAAATCCATATTCAGGATAGTTTAGCTTCATTTTTGGGAGAAAGTGGAGACGTGTCATCTATCTTTATAGTGTTGTCACAGTTTACTGAACATATATGTTGCTTCCAGTTCAATATTCCATCCCAGGAAGCCTTAATGTAAGATTACAACATTTAACCACTGAACCAGTAAAGATATTCCAAACTTTTTGGACTTTAAGTTTTGTATTCAGTGTGTAGCTGAGGTGGCTTCATAGATACACCTTTCAGTTGCCAAGAGGACACGGACACTAGTTGGTTAGTTAATGGTTTACAGAACATTTCCCTGTAGAGGTTAAGGAAGTACAACCCCCAGTTAATAGCCAATAACCAATCACCAATAACCAAACAAAGCCTTTACTCTGCTTCATGCTAGAACATGTGTCAACATGTAATTTGCAAAAAATGTTTGTGATTATTATTTTCGCACTTTTTAAATGTGGTCCGATTTGACCAGCTCCATTATTGTGCAACTTTTAACTCCTGCTGCTTCATTTGGGAATGATTTACAACGTAAGAGACGGATTCAAGGGGAACTAGGGCAGTCGTTCGATTTTCTACTTGAGTCAACATGGCAACTACTCATTAATCTCATCCAATCAATATTCATTAATCAATCTGGGCTTGGATTATGCTTGCTGTAAAATTATGCCCAGGCAACCATGGAAAATAATATTTTATTTCTTTTGTTAATGAGAGCATCTGATTGTCTTTCACAGTACAAGAAACTTTCCTCACAGACAATATGGCTGACGTCAACAAAAAGCCATGAAAATAGCTCTGCCAGGATTATTTTTCCAATTTTCAAACAAAATAGCTTCTAAAGACAGTGATTTATTGCATTAGATTAGTGTTGTGTGACTATTACACATTCCTGCATTGTGATGTTGATGCAGTGATTATTTACACACATTATTATTTATCCTATCCATGTAATTCTGAGCTAAAAGGAGGCGGGAGCTGGTAGAGAACTCCGGACATGAGTGTGATTTCTAATTAGGGACCTGCCTCATTTATCATTCCAGGCAGCACAGATGGTCTGGGTGAAGCAACGACTTGTCAGTGTCGGTGACATTTTGTGATGTAGGAGGCATCCTGCAGTGCCCACCTGAGAAACACGTTTGGTTTTATGTTTCTTTGCTGCCTCCTGGGTGGAGTGAACAGCTCAGTGGATTTCAAAGAACTACACGGGGGCCTCTTCATAAAAATTTGTTTTTTGGACGACGAGGACGTTCATTTGGTGCATTTGACATAGTGTCAAGTAGTGACCTGAAGTTTGTAATGCTGGTAGTAATGGTATAATGATATTACAGTGACAAAGTTTTTCTCCATTCAAACGTCTTTACATTTTTTACTATAATAATAATTATAACTTTATTTGTAAAGCCAATGCACCAAATGAACGTCATTGTAAACATTGTAAACAAAGTTTCATTAATTAATTAGTGCAAAATGGTTATGGGATTACTGTGGTTAAAAATGTCACCCTTTTCAACCTGATGGTAATAAAGAGGCAAGTCCACACAACACAGAACTATTTATTCAAATAAAAAAATCTTGGCTCTTGCATCTTTTCAATACTCGCAGTCCCTGCCAACGCCTCAGATTCGACATAGCGTGCAGAAGTCCAGACATGTTGGGGGAATTCAGGCTGAGTTTTCAAGTTAAATAAAGAAACAAAAAAAAATCGTACATGTGACCTGAACTCCAGAACCTTCAAAACCTGCCTGTCCAATTCTTTTGATATTTAATGTGATCAAATAATCACAAATCTGTGATGATACGATCATGTGGTTGTCGGCCACCATCATCCGCCCAGCTACACCTATTCAGCTAACATCATCTAAGCTGGATGTTAGCTACATCATGTAATTGGCTTGAGATGGCATGAGGTTAACTTGGGTGGAATTAGCAGCAGAGAGCCCTGTGTTTGGTTCAGTGAGGGGGCATGGGCAGCCGAGGTGCCAGTAATCTCATTAAAACAGTCAAACACAGCCAGACAGTCTGTGTGTGTGTGTGTGTGTGTGTGTGTGTCTGTGTGTGTGTCTGTGTGTGTGTCTGTGTGTGTGTGTGTCTGTGTGTGTGTCTGTGTGTTTGTCTGTGTGTGTGTGTGTGTGTGTGTGTGTCTGTGTGTGTGTCTGTGTGTGTGTCTGTGTAAAACAACCCAGAACCCCTGAGCAGACACATGCTAACCCCAGCAGATTAGAGGGGGGACTCCAGTGTGGATAAAACCAGCTTCTCTCCTGAGTAAAAGAAGAAAACACACAGGTTGAACTCCCACATCCAGCTTCGGATCGCTGTGTCCTCAACAAGAAAACTGTGATGGCTGAGTTCAGCCTGGTGTCTGCTGGATAACACTGTTCTCCAGCACAATGAGCCCTTTCAAAGACACGTCATACTTTTCCAGGTCAAATTAAAGGGCAGGGCATTTTTGCACGGGTGTTCATTTTATTGTTTCTCTTATATCAATATGGAACACTGCCATAACTCAGAGTGTCACCTAATTAATCTATGTTTAGTAGCTCTTTTGCCCTCGAGGTCAATTACTAGGTTTACACGGACACCAATAATCAGACTATTGACTTTATTCTGAATAAGACATTCCTCCAATGAGTTGCTAATAGAATATTCCACTCATACTCCTGTTAACATGTTACAGAGCATAGTGTGATTATGACTTCATAAACTCTATTTATTTAAAACGTGCAGCAAAACTATGGCTCCCCTAGCCAAAAAATGTGATTCCTTTAATAAACACTACAATGCAATCAAAACATATACATGTTTACATATTGGACTATGGTCAGAATACTCCAAATGTCATAATTTGATCATTGCTCATTTTAAATATGACCTTATTCAGGTTAAGGTAATCAGAATATGCTTATAACATGGAAGTGTCTTATTCAGAGTGTTAATCAGGTTATATTGGAATATTGGTGTCCAATAAAGTGTTTTTTCATAAAAATGTTTATTGTGACCTCTGTGAAAGAGGTGATGTGTTCCTCTGCATTTGCTTGTCTGGATTATTATGAAACTCGTTGGACGGATGTTGTATGGGTCAGGGAAGGGTCCATTAGATTCTGGTGTAAAGGACTGGTTTCTATGAGTGTGTGAAATTTGGTGCAGCTGGATTGAAGTCAAGTGAACTGCTGGGCCTTGGTGGCAGTACGCACTGTACTGAGGGCTACTCTAGTTTTCTATGATTTTAGTGGAGGTGGTTTCAGGTGACAGGGCCAAAATCCGTGATGACACACTGATCTGCGGAGGCTGCGAACGTAACACCGAACTGATTACACATTCTGGAGCCGCTCCTCTCGCTGTACTATTTGATTTGTCTGCAGTCAGCTGATGAAATCACGTGGTTGACCTTAAGTCTCCTGTATCGGTCGTTCTGCAACACTAACTTTGATGCGTTTACAAGACTGCTACTTCAGAAGTGAGAGGAAGTTACATCTGTGTTGCTTTTTGAAGAATGTTACATTGACGGATTACAGATTCCTTTTCTCTGAACCCAATCTGTTGTGTGATTCATGCCCGTGTGCACTGCAGCTGTTGCAATCACTGGGTGTTATTGATTGAAGGAAACATGCTTTGTCTTCATCATGAGGCTTCTGACGGTGAAAGCGCTGAATTAAAAAAACTATTTCACTTATCTACTGCAATCATTCTTGTGACTTACAGATCAGCGACACGCTGATTATCTAACTAAACTGAATTTTTCCTTCGGGCAGTCTACATACATCTGACGACCTCAGCGGCATTAAGATTTTTGGTTGGTAAGATCTTAATCTTTCAGCAATCAGCGCTTCATACTCGACTGTGAAATTCTCAATCCCTGTAAAAAACACTGGTCCTTGTGTCGGCGGTGAGGGAGCGTAATTACGTAACTACAGATGATACTCACCTCAAGGATTAATTGACAAAAATCTTTTTACAACCTGAATCATTGTAAAGGTTTCTCTATAGCGTGTCATCTGTGAATGTATGAATCTGAACTCTGACAGCTGTCTGACAAAAAACTGCTCCGAAATTAAGCCTCTGAGATTACGTCCTTGAGATTGAATAGTTTGTGATAAAGAGAACAAATATAAGATGCAGATGAGAAAGGGATGAGCGTGTGGCAAACATTCAGGGTGAGTCTGCTGCCGAGAGCGACAGCACAGGGATGACAGCGATGGAAAGAGCGGCGAGGAAGGAACAACAGAAGGGAAGAGATGTAGGTGTGTGTTTGAGTACGCGTGTGAGAGATTCAGCGTGTGACTGTGTGTCTTCAGGCATCACAGAGGGAGCTACTGTCAGGTCGAGGCTGAAGGTCACAAGGGAGTTATCTTTCCACAGGAGCCGAGCGATGCGGCAGGGGAACAGTCATCGCTGTGGTGAGCAAAAAAAACCTCCAAACTCCGACTTTGGAGGTTATTTTTGTTTTTGTCACATCACATCAGCTGAGGTTTCTTTTACTGGAAACCATGGCCATGTGACACTAGTGGCACTGTTTGAATGCTTACAAGATGCACACCCTGATGCCAGATATTCTGCCATCAGGGTGTTTTAGACAAGCATATGTAATGCTGCACATCGATAAGCAGGAGTGTTGAACATCAATAAGGATTTTTGTAAACATGTGGTTTGTCTGGTATATTGCTTTTAATTTATTTAAAAATACATTGTTGTGTTGATTGGTTATTTTATCCATCATTTTTTGCCATTGTTGCTTGAGAATAAACTTTATGACAATCATCTGGGTTTAATTTCAACATCTAAAAAACTACAGTTGGTTATGGAAAAACTACATAATGACACAATCTTTAAAACAGCCAAAGATTGCCAGATTGTTTATTCTGCAAAATGAAGTTTCCATATCGCTGCATGTCAGCAAACATAAACAAACAAACCATAATATCGTGAAAGGCTCATATCGGCCATTTTTATTGCCAAACCAATAAATTGGTCGGGCTCTAATTAATAATTCTGGAGTTTCCATGTGCACTTGGAGTTTTAGACACTCACCATGTGAATTTGTCTATATGTGATCAAACATACATGATCCCGTCCTGACGTAGCTGAGAGGTTTTCACTCAACAGCAACTAAACGTCCACTTCCAGCAGAGTCCCAGCTGCAAGGAAGACCTACCCCCTTCTCTCTCTGCCACACACATGCAGCATTAGAGGAATCTGCATCATTTATGAGTCCTGCCATCCATTTACAGTGTGTGCAGTCTGCATGTGACTGGAAGACACATTATACATCCCCCTCTTTCTCTCTCTCTCCCTATAAGATGCCAGCTGTACAGCAGCTCCTGACTGTGCAGCTCCCTGCAGAGGAGGAGGCACGTGTTCATCCATCTGACTCGAGCTGAATTCACACCACAAAATGATGCTGAGACACACAGAGCGAGAGAGAGAGAGAGAGAGAATGAGAGAGCTCACACTGCACATACAATAAAATCAGCTGGTCATTAAACAACTCGACATGGCTGCTCTAGGGCTGGAGGCATCCACATCCGGGGCAGTGGTGTTCATAGATTTTTTTTGGGGACTGGTGCAGTTAACAGATAACACAGTAGTACACTTGGTTTATAGGTTTCTGTGGTCCCATGGCAGATATTACACCGAATCCCCTGGGGACTGCGGTTTCAAGATTCACCAAAATGAGCTTCGCTGCATGTCAGGACCTGCACACGTATCACAGCCAAATCATTCAACCAGTTTCAGGCAAATCCCCCTTTCATACAACTGTAGATATACCAACATGGATACATGATGGTGAGACAGGGATCCAACACATGTATGTTACACTACATGTATGACAGTGTCACAGTCCTGGTCGTTGACTACAGAGAAGCACCAGAGAGCCACTGCAGTCATGTTGTAGAGATGTTACTGTGGTGCAGCACAATATGAACAGATCAGTCCAGTTTCACATGACCTTCAGGTTGGACCAGCCATGATGAAGAAATGCCTTTTAATCAAAGTCACATCACGTGTAAGTTGTGTTGACTGAAGTAGATATATAAAAAGTTGTAAGAACACCACAGACTGTCAGTAATCTAGTGATCCAAGCTGTTAATCCTCCACTAAAAGTCCTGGTCGTTGTTTCTTGAGATAACCGGGTATTAAAGCGGACTCACCGTGTCTGAGTGCAGGTCCTGCTGCTGGCACAGCCGGTACAGGAACGAAGTTTGCTCCTTGAGGAGGGTCTGCCGGGTCGTGAGGAACACGGTGCCCCCCACGTTCAGTCGGACCCACTTTCCGTTGCTCCCCCCGGTGGGGTTGATTACCGAGCCGTTCCCGATGCTCTGCGACGCGGTCCCGGGTTCGGTCTCGCTGGAGGCGGCGGCGGCGGAGCTCGGGCTCTCTCCCGCCTCGCTGTCTTTGTTGTTGTTGTTATTGTTGTTGTTGTTGTTGCTGTTGTTGCGGTGGCCGCGGCAGTCGGGGCGCGTGGACGGCGCGGCGACGTCCGCCGGTTCCCGCAGCTCGTCCGCCGTGGTTGCCATCGTGGCTGAAGCGGCTGGGAGTGGAGCAGAAGAGGAGCCACGGTCCGGAGCTGCCTCGGCCTTTTCTCCGCTCAGCGCCGCGGACAAGCTCCGCCCCCAACACCCGCACACAAGCTCACATCCTCCGCGTCAAGCGCCAGGAAGTGAGGTGTAACAACCGGGAAAGACCTTCAAAATAAAACCTGCAGCCCTAAATATGATTGTAGAACTAAACTGAATTGATAAAGACTACAGAAAAATGAGTGGGTTCCAAGGTATAACAGGGGTGTTGCATCGAGGTAGCCTAAAGCCCAATTCAAGTAACGTCGAAGTTACAACATAGCCTATGTGTAGATGTGTACCCTACACAGAGCCCGATACCGTACCAAAAATTTAACTAGGCGATGAGGAGACACAGATGGCAAGAGCTGTGATGGGTCCACTCAGTAGCATCTCATTTCCAGCAGACTTGCTTTTGTAATGTAATTGAATGAGCAACAATGGAAAATGTCTTTCTTTAAGAAAAAGTAATTGCTCTTCAACATCTATCAGCTCCAACCCCAACATGATCCATTCATAAACACTCGCCATCGTTCTGCAGAAACAGAGCCGCCAGAGAATTTGTAAATAAGTGGACCAGACATTGAAGACACTCAACACCAGCATAGAAACTCTACTGCCACTACAGGTCCTTTGCATGGGTTTGGTGAAATGACTCACTTGTTTCCCCTAATAATTGAACAAATGAAATCCCTATTTCAGCTCTATGATGAAACTTTTAAGCAAATATAGTTTACCTCTGAAGACCTTGATTGTGTAATATTGAGACATTCCTGGCTTTTTGTCAAACAGGGTGGTTTCAATGCAGCAGCTAACAAAAACTGTTGTGACTCAACTCCACATAATTAGATCATTCTGATATTTCACATGTTGGATAGAAGTCCAGACTTGAAGAAATCTTGGTCATGGTGCCACCGACTGGAACAGGAAATGCCAATTTCTTGTCAAACAGGAAGTCCATAATTTTGAATTTTGTGTGAAATGTATTTTCTAGATCAGGTAATTTACTGTCAACTTCCAGCTGAGGGCAGTATTACCGTGTGTATGAGTGTGCGTGTGTGCGTGCGTGAGAGAGAGAGAAATGTGTATACTATATAACATATGTGTACACTACATACCTGCACAACCCTCTGACATGCTCAAGGTGCCAGGGCTGTTATTTGCAGCTTTAATTTTATACTTCGATTTATTGTACACAATATTAAAAGAAAAATTAGTAACAGATAATTTAAATAACCACAAATGAACTGCTACATGGTTCCCTAAATATCTGGAGCACCAAAGTAGTTGCTTACTTTCCACAACTTTGAAGATAGTGATTTGGCCCAAATATTGGTTAAAATGTATAATATGCTCTACCCCCTCTCAACAAAGAATCAATGTTTTTCAATTCTTCTATTTTATTCAAGTCATTACTTTTTTTCTATGTTATGTATTGATTCATGGAACTGCTGTGGTTCATTGGAAAAGTACACATAGATGTCTTGTTTTGAAAGTAAATCTCAATTTCCTGTCTAGCTCTCATTGCCTTGGATAACCTTGACAAAGATTAAAACCTGAAAAACCTTCTTGTGACTATAATGAAATGCATCAGGTATCCAGATTTTATTCTTGTTAATATTTTCATATAATTAGTCATATTATATATTTGATATATTTGTTCCATACAGAGCAAATGTGAGTCAACAATGTATAGAAGTAAAAACGAAAATATTAAAAGAAATAAATTAATATCAAAATATATAAATGTAAAAATGAACCCATAACTTTCTTGTTTCAGGCATAGACTATACACAAACGGATGACATGACAGCTCCCAAAAGTGAAGCCCAACCATCTTGATAGCCCCCTGGTGGCTGGCTGCAGTGTTGGTCACAAACCCTACCTCCTCCATGTTAGCAGGTAGCAGTCAAATTACACACCAAATACATTTTTTCCCATAGTTTCTGGCAGTTTAGGTAGTTCTTATCACACTGATGACCAATGCCTTTGGCTCCAAGTTATATCAACAGGGCAAGATGGCAGCACCCTTATACAGGATACTTTGGCTTTTGGCCCTTGTACAAAGAGAAGAGGTGGAGATGCGTCATCCATCTTTATATTAAGTCTTATGTGCTTTCATGTTATTAAAGACTGATGAAAGCTTAGTTAGAGCTGCTTTAAGAAATGCACTGCACTGCAGGTTCTTCCATTTTTCTCCAGGTATGTGTGTCGCTCCACAGACTTTATCTGCCTGGCCTCCTGGTACAATGTCTGCAGTAATCCAGGAGAAATCGATGTGTGGACACAAGAACAATCCACCCCCGCTGGATCCACTGCGAGCGAGTGGGAGGGATTATGATTATTATAAACGTCACATCCTGCTTTTGCCTGATTCACCACCAGGATTTGTTGTTGTTGTGAACACGTCTGTGCAGAGAACCTCCTGCTGTGTTGTGCATGTGTGTAAGGCAAACTCTGGGTAAACTATATTATGATACGTTAATAGATCCCTCTTAATCCCTTACACTTGTCTTTTAAAAATCAAATTAGTGAGACATGTGCAGTACTATATATATTGTAATTTTTTGACACTGTGCTCAGTTATCTCATATGCACCACCAGGATGTTCACTGTTGTGCTTTAGGGTGACATCTTCTGTCTCTGTGCTCTCAGGGCTGGTGCAGTGCGGGCCTCATGACGACAAAGGGAAAATTATAGGTGTGAGGGAGACCCTGATGAGTTGTGAGGTTGAAGGAGTGCCACGAGAACGGCTGCAGCCCCCCCTGTGTCGTCGGGCCATTTATTGCCTCCGCGACCAGCTGCAGAGCCATCTGGTAGTCTGTCACCTGCACCGTGAGACAGAAATGAGCAGAGAGGGCACATCGGAAGAAAGTGCAGACATTTAATAAGGTTCAAATTAAAAAGTTAATACTGTACACATCTAGGATGATATCTCTGTTGCCATTAATGGAGTATATATTAAATCAAACCTGTGTTATTAAAGTTTGGTTTACCCAGTGTGGGTTTAATGCAATTTTCAAGGTAGATTCAAGAGGTTTATTGTCGTAGAAATGGTAAGGATTCAAGTCCTCTGAGAAAAATTGACAGCTTGAATTCTTCACTTATCCCATGAAAAATCTTTACATCAACTAGATGAATGGATGCTGAGTTTTGTTCAGACATTTATTGCTCCCATGATGATAAATCAGAAGGACTTTGGTGATGCCCAGACTCTTTCAATCTTGCTCCAGCGTGCCATTTTTGGTTTAAAGTGAAATGCCTTGAAACTGTTGTACAGATTGCCAGTAAACATTGTTGGTGCAAGGTCATTTGTGACGATGGCAGGCGACAATAACAGGCCAATAACTAATGAAAAAAAAAGGCAATAATATTATCCTGAAAAAATTGACCTCTGACCTTAGTGTCATAGCAACCTCCCGGGCGTGGCTTCCTTGGTCTCAGGTCGTTACGGCAACAGATGGTCTTACATGGATGGCCCTTAGAGTAGGGGTCTCTCTTGTAGTCTGCAACAGAACCAATCTGACTTTTACTTGAGCTGCTTACATTTTGAAATCAGCAACAATATCCTAAATGATTTGCTTGTATTCTTTGTCACATCTTTAAAGTGCCTTGTGCTCAGGAAAATACATAAAATATGAGGAATGCAATCAGGGGTAGCGTTCTACTTACTGTTGTATCTCATGATGTGTTTGAGGGAGTTGAGGTTCGACACCTTGGCCTGGTCCCTGCGGAGGATTTTGGCCCGGGGACAGAGGTCGTAAGAGAAATCGACTCCGTATCTCTTCCACATCACGCCGTACCCGCTCAGGTTGTAGATTTCAGCATGAAATGGTATGTTGTAGGATGGCCAATAACCTGCAAAGTGTAGCACACTGAAGATGGAGGTGATCCAAATGTGTTACCACTTCCTCCCACTATCCAGAAATGAAGCCAAAATATCATGGACATGAGCGTTAATTTGGCATGATGTTTTAGTTTGATCCATGTCCCGTCTGCTAACATGGAGGAGGAGGGATTTATGACCTATACATTGTAGCAAGTCTCCAGGGTGCATTCAAGATGATTCATATTGTATATATACTACACACAGTCTATTGTCCCCACACATTTAACAAACACCTGTAGTAGCACACAAACAGATGTAGATGCTGTTTGATTCTTACCCCTGCGTAGAGCTTGAGTCTGATCCGAGTGCATCACCTTCCCAGGGATCTGCTCCACCACAGTTAGAGCTCCTTTCTGGATGCTGTGACCCAGAGAGACCCTGCTCAGGTCCAACACCATGTACTGGCTGTTATATGTACCTGAAATACAGTGTCAACATGCTCTGTTTCCTACTTATGCTGACCCAACTAATGTATCAGTCAGAAAACCAATAAATCTATATGTGTCTCCTTCTCCCTGGTGCTTCTGAAGTAAATACCTGCAAATCTAATGATCCATGGTTCATGTCGGCTGATGGGGACCATGGCAAACAAAATCATAGCTTAACATTGGGAAAAGGATCATTCATTGTGAGCATGATGGTAAATAGACTGTATTTATAATCTAAATGGAGCTTTTCTAGTCTCCGTGACCACTCAAGGCACCTTAAACCACAGGCACACACATTCATACAGCATCTATTAGACACCAGTCATATACCCACACAAATCAGGGGCAAAGTGGGGTTCAGGATCTTGCCCAAGGTATATAAACTGGACAAGCCAGGGATCGAACCACCAACCTTGGGACGACCCGCTCGAGTCACAGCTGCCCTGATGGTGAAATAATTTAACTACAAAAAACAATTTTGCAAGTACAGGCCCAATGTTATTGTGACTGCAGACTCTTATGTCTTATTGATAGAAAACTTGTTGAAGTGGGCTGCTAGCATTCAACTAACACAGGTAAAACAACATGTATGTGCCTGAGGGACTGGTGAGAGGAAAACCGTTTCTCGTCCAGGAGTTACCAACTTGTTCAGACAGTAAATCCCACACCTAAATCTACTGGAATGAAATGAAAACACGGGGTGAAGGAACTACTACCACAGTTTGGCAGGACG